CGTTCACTTGCCGTGTCCTACGACCGCACAGTTCGCCCTTGCCGAAATTGAGGACACCCGGCATCACGACCGCCGTCGGCGATTTCAGTGGGTTGTTCCAGCACAGCCGCAGGTTGATGATGCCTTTGCGGTTCTGCTTGCAGTACCAGAGTGGACCGAACAATACGTCATTATCCTTGATGTGCGTAAGATTAACAACACACTCTTCGCCGCGTGTTCTCCTCTTCAGTTGTCGAGAGAGACCCTTCTAGACCTGTCGGGTTTAGGGCAAGCTTACCCAGCTGACGTCTTCTTCCATACAAGTACGGATGCACTCATCCCGGGCCAAATAGTGTCTGTGTGGACGGGAGTCTCGGTCGTGTTCTCAACCAATGATGAGGCGCCTGCTGTGGGTAGGTCCCTTGAGGAAATGCTAAGCACCAACGAGGGCTGGGACGCCTCCGCTGAGGTGCCAGCGCAGCCAGGGCCAGCTTTCTACATCATGTCGGACGAAGGGGCCTCTAGGTTTCAGCTCCGCACACAAACACGGGTTGACGTGGCTGCCTTTCTAGGATACAACATCCTCCGCCTTACCCTTCGGGGGGCTATGCCAAGGCCAACAGATGTTTGTATACGAGGGTTGATATGCAATGCTATAGTGGTCGCCACTCAGGCGCTCCCTAGGCCATCCCGTAGAGGAGTAGACCCTAAGATCCTTGTTTTTGATTTGCGGCCCATTCTACAAGGATTCCGATGGGAGCTCTATCAGGATGATTGGTTGACCCTCACAGAGGTGACCAATAGGTTTGGCCAGGCATGCCCAGCCGGATATCGGGTCGCCCTCGATGGGGGGCCCCTAGTAGAGCGTAATGACGATCTTGCTCTCCGGCTCGAAACTGCGCACCGCGTTACAGTTTCCTTCGAGCCAGAGATTGCTCCCTGGACACCTCCACTGTCAAGCTCTGGAGAGGATAGTTCCTCCGATTCGGACTCTGACGGAGACGAAAGACCGGCGGGGCCACCGCCGCCGCGCAATGCTGAGCGTAGTCGGTCCCCGCGACCCCGCCAACACCCTCCTCCAAGTGCACCCGGCGGGCCGCCCGAGATTGATGCTATGCAGGTGGAACACATTACCACCCATGCAAAACTCCCATGCTCATGCCGTAACAGGTGCAAGCTACTATGCCGCGCCTGTAGTGCACGGTATGCAATCTGTGCAAATCACTCTTGCTTCCTGCTTTGTGTGCTGACATTGTGTGCTGTGCAAGCGCAGGCGCACACTCTGGCGTACCAGCCCACCAACCTGTCGTGCACGAAGCCTGCAGTTGGGCTGCAGCATCTTGTGGGCTCAGCAGCCATTGGAGTTGCTGTAACCCTATATTCTCTCTTGCACGCTGTTCTTAAGCTCCTCAACGAACCCCAGCCATGCAGCATTGAAGGCCAACAGCAAATTGCATTCCTCCGCTATGTCGCGCCTCGCCTTGGGCGCAGATGGCGCTACAGACCACCGCAAGATGCCGTGATATTACCCGACACCAGCGACTCCGAGGAGGGAGACCCTGAGGCTGACGGTGTCGTGCGTATGCATTTTGTCGTCCTGGCACCCGGGTACAGGCAGGAGAGATTGTTGATCATGCTTCGGCTGCCCGCTACCGTCGAGGAGGCTCTTGATGCCGTGCAAGCCTCACGCTTCCTGTCTGCTCGGCAACGCTTTCCATGCCTTACTGCAGCAGAGCCCCAACCGTGTTCGGGCACTGGTGTGGTTTTAGCCACACCCGTGTGGGCTGCTTCTAGTCCAGCTTACTGTCGGCTACTGTGCTTGGACACTACAAGCATTGACGGCCGCATCTTTAGTGCATTTGGGCCAACATACGCCAACCCCAGCCAGCTTTGTGCTTTAGCAAATTTGCCACCACAGCTGGATGTTAGAGTGTTTGTAGGAGCCAGCCTGGAAGCCCTAGCTGCAGATGCCTGGTGCCACCTTGCCCATGGCACCACCATCGCTTTCTTGCTGCCAGAGCAAGTTAGAGAAGAACTCTATTCCATTGCAACTCACTTGCTCCTGCTCTCGGCGTGGAGTCCATTTAATACGGTCCCAGAGCCCGAACCCGAGGCGGTTTACTGTTTGGCCCATAACGAGGGTAATATCCTCCACATGGCTAATATTCACGAGCCGACATCATACAGGGCCCACCTTGCATTGGCCCTCGGAGTCCCCCAGCAAAGCATGCGCCTCTTTCCGGCTACCCCCCGTATCGAAGATGCGGCCTTACAGGGTATGCCATGCAACACTGTCATCGCTGTGTGTGCCCATGGAAGCGGAGCTTCCCCCTCCTCCTGTGGGGTGTTGCTTGATCTGAGACCCTTACTCATAGGCTGGTGCACCCTCTATGTCCGAGAAGGAGTGGTCAACTGTGCTTCCGTCTTAGCAGGCCTACAGGCAGAGGTGCCCAATGGTTGGCAGCCCTATATTCCTGGTGCGCCAAGGGGAGAAGAGCCACTCCGAGTTTGTCCAGGCCAGGTAATTCCTGTAGCTGTTCGCGCGGTGGCTGATAACTTCCACGACATACCGACTCCCAGGACTACGCCCTTGTCAGCAGACCCACAAGGAGCACAGGGCTATGCCGCGACACCATCGGGACCTGCACAGGCACATAGTCCACTGGACCCCGATGAGACAGCCCCCGTTGGTGAAACCTCCAACCCACCCACCGATGCTCGACCCAGCACATCTCAGCATCCAGACGACGAGCAAAGCCATTTTGGCCGCGCTCACCTCAACGGTGTGTTCCTTGTCTTTGGGCAAAACTATGCCCCAGAACTCATCCATGTAAGGCTCGAAGTTGGAGCTAATACAGGGGTGGCTTTAGCTTCGGTTGCTTCAGCTCGTCTCCCGAGAGATGCTGCCTTCCTTCCGCGACTTATCCCCGTGCACCCACAGCCGTGCAGAGACCATGCCATGGTGCTTGCAGTTCCGGAGCGACCAATCATTGGAGCCGTTGTCCTTATTGACACCCGTGCCTTCAATGGGAATTGCTTTGCTTTGCATATTGCTGGTAGAGTTGACAAGAAGTATTTAGTGCGGTCCGCGGGTCTCGATCCCTGCCAACCCTGTTTGGTCTTCGTCAGTGATCAACCATGGCCTTTGTTCGAGGGTACTCATTTCGATATGGAGCACGGCGATCTGGTTCGGTTTTGTGTGCCTGAAGTCCAGCCAGCTGCCACCACTACACTGACAGCTATGCTCGCGTCAGATGCCTTATGGGATGACAACTTCGACCCCCCAGGGTTCTATGTTGACGCGGCGTGGATCCTAAGTCCCACTGCGGACTTTGTCTTTGAAGTCGGGCAAGGCCGCCGTGCCTACTTTCGGAATGACTTGGCAGACGCCATGGGGGTTGCCCCCGTCAGATTGTTGATCAAGCCTGCTCTCCAGGGCCTGACCGACTACTCCCACCAAGGCATATGTACCCGAAATGTGTTGGCAGCTGCTGTTGCCCCCCCAGACGGCACTTGGCGGGCCGATAGGGAGCGCATTGTTTTTATAGACCTGCGCCCAGTCATGCTAGGAGTCGAGTGGAGGTTTGCCCTTGACGGTACCCTTGACTGCCGTGATGTGCTGGAGCGCCTTATCCCTCGATGCCCTCCGAATTTCATTGTCTGCATCGCAAAGGATGGCACACTGCGCCGTGCCCCCCAGCATGTCACCCATGTTGAAGATGGTGAAGTTTTTGCATTCGTCCTCGCCAATACCCAAACCAATGCGATCGAGGCGTTCCCGGAGAGACAGCACCCTGCAGCCGATGACAATACCAACAGCCCCCGGGCGCGTGCCCCTGAGCCTGGACCGGGGTCAGCGGAGCCCCCCACCCCCCACGACGGAGGGGCTCCTGCCGAGGCACAGGACTTCGGAGGCACGCAGCGCCACAAATCTGCTTGCACTGACCTCCGTTGCCGGCTCCGTCAAAGTGACAGTCGCCCCTGGTCAAGCGCCCGAGCTCCCCCGGGCTTTCGGGCTGCCGTTACCCGAGGTGTTGTCAGAACACTCATTATTACACTGTTGGCCTTCGGCTGCCACGATGGTCCCCATAACGGCGGATTCTATCAGATGTGTGCTGCCTTCAGTCTTGCATGCATGTCTCCAACCTGCAGCGGGATAACCAGTGCCCTTGCTGCAGGCCTACTCCCTCGCGTGAGTGCGATGCAGTACCATGCGTACGTCCAGTTCCCCAATCCTGCCACTGATGCGGATGCTCTGGATGCCGAGGGAAGCCTTCGGAAGACTGATCAAGCTCAGAACCGAGCTATTCCGAGACCAGTGCCCACCCCGCTCAGGAGCGTCCGCCCTGAGCCTCAAAGGCCAATAAGCCAAAGGCCTGAGCATGTAGTCGGGGCCCCCTTGGAGACACTGCTCGAATAGGCAGCACGCCGGACGGACTGTGAGGCCTTTATCAACGCTGCAGCTTGGCTCGACACACTTTTTGAGTACTTCGACGAAGCACTTGCCGGTGCTGCTGATTTTTCCCCAGGTGCGGCACCAGTATGCCAAGGCAACACATGGCAGGGCAACACCCCGCCACGGCGGCAGGTCATCAATCTTGAGCAAGTCTTAAGTGCAGACTGTGTCTGCGACAGGCCCAAGGCAGGCGGGCCCTTTTTTGGAGGCACCTCCCTGGCCTCCTTCCTCAAACCTACCGCCCCTAGCGCTGTAAGAACAGTGCGGTATGGAGACACCTCATTAGGGTTTTCTCTTGCAGACATAGAGCTGCTGGCCGCCTGCCCTTATCGCCTGCATAGTTGGGACGAGGCTCTGGCTTTGGCACCTGCACTGGGAAGATACAATGTTGAGGAGGTTGTTGCGTACGTGCAGCAGTCCGCTAAAGCCGAAAACCTTGCAGGACCGGATGTATGGTGTTACACTGATGGCTCATTCAAGCCATCGACCACACTGGGCCCCCAAATGGGTTGGGCGGCCATCTGTGTGCAGCCTTCAACTCAGATTGTGCGCCTTGCTTGGGGAGGCGCACTCACCACCCTGAACACAGCCCGAACCGAGGCATCGGCATACGCCACCGAATGCCAGGCCTTGCTCTCTGCAGGCATTTTGAGCCTCCTTGTCTGCAACGGCCTAACACTGCACTATCTGTCCGACTGTCAGTCCGCTCTCGCCGCCATTGATGGCTCAGCGCAATATGCGGCAGACGGTACCGCGTCGGCAGCCAGCAATACACACCTTCTGCGCCGTGAACTCAATCCCCAATGCAGTACATACGGATACGTACCAGGCCATGCTGGTGTGCTTCCCAACGAAGTTGTGGACACGCTTTCCAAGATTGGTGCTGCCGGCAAGGAAGTCTCATGTGGCTTAATTGCCAGCCACAACCTAACGCTGCGTTGGTTTGCCAACGGTGCTTCCCTTCTACCGTGGGTTGCTGTTGCCTTGCGTAGCCTTTTCGGCGATGTCAGCCTTCCGAGTGTGGGGGCATCTGATCTCGGGCACAATCGATGCCACGGAGGTTTGAGTGAGCTAGACCTCCTTGCCCCCTTTGTGCCTGCAAGAGCAGCCAAGCAAACGGCCGACAGCCGTACGACCGTCTCTGTCTCCGCCGATTTACACTTGCGAGTCGCCACCTTCAATACGTTGTCCCTTTTGGGCGACCCCGCAGAGCGCGAACCGGCAGGGCTCACAGGCGGGCCCGCAAGAGCCGCCATCCTAGCAGCTGCGTTGGCGGAAAACGACATCCACATCGCATGCCTGCAAGAAACCCGCTCCGATCGTGGGCAATCGAGAGTGGGAGACTATGTTCGCTATGCTGCAGGAGCGGTCAAGGGCCAATGGGGTACGGAGGTGTGGATCAAGCAGGGGCTCTCCCTGCTCAGATCAAGCTGCCGTGATGACGGAGCTCATTTTGAGGTATGTCAAGCCACGGTGTTGACCGCCGACCCCAGGCGCATCTTTGTCAGACTGCATTCCAAGTCCCTCGCCATACTAGTGGTTTCCCTGCATGGACCACACCGTGCCTTTGAATCCGGCACTATCAGACAGTGGTGGGAGGAGACCTCCAAGCTCCTCAAACAATACTGCAGGGCAGACTACCTTGTGATAGGAGGCGACTTCAATGCCGCTGTAGGCTCCGAGGCCTCGGAAGCGATCGGGTCACACGCGGCCGAGCTCGAGGACGAGGCAGGAAGCCAGGTCCGACTGCTCACGGCCCTTTTTGGGCTTTGGGCCCCCGCTACTTTCGATGGGCATCACCACGGGCCGACGCACACATACCACCAGAAGAAGAGTGGTCGCCTTTGTCGCCCGGACCTGATTCTGGTCCCTACTGCATGGGCCAAGGGCTGTGTCAGCTCCCGTACCAGCCCAGACATCCACGCTGCGCACGTCTGTCAGGATCATGTTGCTGCGGTGGTGGACCTTCGCCTTGCTTTGACGGCCAACAGCCAGGTCCGCCGCACACGCCGCATTAAAGCTCGTGATGTTGTCGACGAGGCCAACCGAGGTAAGGTGCTCGACATTCTTAGGGCCGTCCCTTGTGTGCCGTGGCATATTTCGGTGCACGCCCACGTAGCCTTGGTGACACGTCACTTACAGGAAGGCCTTAGCCAGCTCACCGCGGACCAGCCGCGGCGCCCCCGGCACCCATACCTCACTGAAGGGACCTGGAACCTGCAACGCAAAGTGGCACAGCTCAGACGAGGCCTCCACACCAGGCAACACGCATTGCGTCGTCACTGCATGCTGATCTGTTTCCGTGTCTGGAGGTATTGCTCTGATACATTTGAGACTCTCTACATGTCCAACGCCTGGGTTTGGCAAATGGAGATTGTGTCTGCAATCCAGGTAGCCCAGCTACGTACCCTGGGCCTTGCGTTGCGGGCGGGCTGTAAGAGAGATCGCGACGCCTACGTGGAGCAACTGGCACTGCAGTTCTCTGAAGGCCCCAGCCAGCAGGTATACCAAAACTACCATAAGCTGCTGGTGCACAAGCGCAGGAAGCCCTTTCAATTGGAGCCATTGCCGATGCTCAACAAGGCGGACGGGACGCAGTGCCTGAGCGCAGCCGAAACGAACCAGCGTTGGCGTGAGCATTTCGGGTCCCTTGAAGGAGGCCAAGATATTAGTTACCAGGCTCTCGCTGCAGCGGCAAATGAGGCGGCAGTTCCCCTCGAGGAACAAAGGTGGCCTCAGCCGCCTACTGTTGCCAGTATGCCCTCAATTGCCACCCTGCAGCAAACACTGGCGGCCACAAAAACTGGAAAGGCTCCGGGGCTGGATTCCATACCGGCCGAACTTTGCAGGCACTTCGCCGTTGATCTGGCCCGGGTTTTGTTCCCCGTGCTGATGAAACAGATGTTGCGTGGACAAGAAGCCCTGGGATGGAAAGGCGGGGAAGCCATAGTACTGTACAAACATAAAGGTGCGGTTAACGAATGTTCCTCATATCGGTCCATTTTGCTACTATCCAGTTTGGCGAAAGCGTGTCACCAAAGTCTTCGACCACCACTCAAAGCGCTGTTCCATGACTCAGCCCCGAGCCTGCAGCTCGGAGGACGAGCTGGGGTCAGCATTACGTTTGGTTCACATTTGCTTAGGTGTGTGACGGCCGTTGCTATGCACAAAGGGGCAACGAGCTTTGTCCTGTTTGCAGACATTGCCTCCGCTTTCTACTGCACGGTCACGCAATTAGTGGCCAACAAGGGTGGAGCTATAGATGAGGACTTGCTTCAGCGCATCACGGATCAACTCCACATCGCGCAGGAAGACGTGGCATCGCTCAGACAGCACCTCGCACAGCCATCGGCGATGTCAGCGGCGCGTGCTGAGCCGTGGCTCGAGGCCATAACGGACTGCCTTTCCACGGGCAATTGGTTCGTGCTACGGGGAGATTCAACCCCCATTGCTACAGCGCGAGGCTCCCGCCCGGGGTCATCCTTTGCGGACATCGTGTTTGCTCTCCTTTTGCCTAAGGTACTGCAGGCACGCGATGCGTTGCGAGCTACTTCCCAGCCGGCTGCAGTAGCTCCCCACATGCCATGGGATGGCAACCGGTCGCTTGGGCCTTGTGCCCCAGAGGCTCCGGACATTACGATAGATGAAATCATGTGGGCCGATGACATTGCTATCCCGAGATGGTGCATGCGCAACCACGCCACACGTACCGCCATCGCGGTCGAGGCCGGTGCGTTGGCGGATGCTTGTGCCGAACATGGTCTGCGCTTGTCCTACGGAGCAACTAAGACTGCGGCGCTAGCTTCAGTCTGTGGTCAAGGTTCACGCGCCATCCGCAAGGCGCTCTACGGGAGTGCAGGTTTCAAGGGCACGCTCGAGGTGGTGCGCGAGCATGCCGCGCCAGTCACCTTGCCTCTCGTAGGACACTATAAGCACCTAGGAGCAGTGCAGGCCCCCGGTGGTGCCATTAGGTCTGAGCTGCGCCACCGAATCGCCTCAGCCAAGACAGCGTACCACGAGGCACGGCGTAAAATCTTTAAGAATCGTGGGATCAAGATCCACCGTAAAGCAATGGTGCTCGAGGCTACGGTACTAAGTCGCCTCACACAGGGCGCCGGCTCCTGGCCCAGCCTATGCAAAGCTGATCAAGCAGCCTTTGACGCCACCATCTGGCACTTCTATAGAGGGATCCTTTGCATTCCCAGGGCAGGTCCGCAAGATATTCCTGCGCTAACCTGCTGTGCCTTGGTGCGCCTGCCCCCACCCGACGTTATACTACGACGGGCACGGCTGCAGTATCTTAGGCAACTAGTCGCGGCTGGGCCCCCCCAGCTCTGGGCGTGTGTTAAGGACGATAGGCCGTACTGCGACCTGCTCGCCAATGACCTGAGGTGGGTGTACGGATGGACTCACCTGATGCCGGCCGTGGAGGATCCGGACTCCTCCTGGGAAAGCTGGCGCACCCTTATGTCCCAACGCCCAGGCGTCTACAAGAATATCGTCCGAACTGCTTGTAAGCTCGAGGGCGCGCGAATCGCGATTGTTGCCGCCTTGGACGGGTTGCATAGGGGCCTCCACGGCCTAGCGCCCTCGCCTGCCCACATCCCTGCCCCATCCCAGCAAGGCTATACCGAGCTCTGCGTGCCCTGTCGCGGGGCATTCAGTACCAGAGTTGCTTGGGCAGGGCATGCTGCACGTAAGCACGGGTATAGGTCTAAAGCCCACCTCCTAGCCAAGGGTAATGTTTGCACCGGGTGCGGTTTTACC